TTTCTGTGCTCTGTTATGTTCGCGTAGGGAAGAAGAATTTTTTTTTTATTTATATCTACAGGTAAAACGGATTCTCAGAATCTGTTTTACTGTGAATTATTTATAAAACGTATTATGAGAATCCATTTAATGAAAAACGGATTCTCAGAATACGTGTTTTTCTGATTTATTTATAAAACGGATTCTGAGAACCCGTTTTATATAAAAAAAAATGGTCGAGGCTCCCAGATTGGGGACTCGAGCCCGGGTCAATGGTTGAGTTCGATTTCTCTGGGCGCACCTCGAACCATTGTGCCGGCAGACACTTTTTGATTATTTTTTTACAAATTATATACATATACGTAAAAATATACTATAAATTATAGAATAAATTGTAATTTATACTATATGTTATATTATATTATCTACCATATGTTATATCATAGTATATATCATATTATATTATGTAGTATATAACATATATTATAACATATGTTATAATATATATTATAGCATAGTATATAACATATATTATAACATATTATATTATGTAGTATATAACATATATTATAACATATCATAGTATATAACATATATTATAACATATGTTATAATATATATTATAACATAGTATATAACATATCTTATAACATATTTTATTATGTAGTATATAGCATATATTATAACATATGTAGTATATAAGTAGATTTCAGTTGTACTAATTTGACTTCAATTGTACTAATTCGAGTTCAATTGTACTAAATTGACTTCAATTGTACTAAGTTGACTTCAATTGTACTATTTCGAGTTCAATTGTACTAATTTGACTTCAATTGTACTAAGTCGAGTTCAATTGTACTAATTCGAGTTCAATTGTACTAAGTTAACTTCAATTGTACTAATTTGACTTCAATTGTACTAATTCGAGTTCAATTGTTCTAATTTGACTTCAATTGCACTAAGTTGACTTCAATTGTACTAAGTTGACTTCAATTGTACTAATTTGACTTCAATTGTACTAAGTCGACTTCAATTGTACTAATTTGAGTTTAATTATACTAAGCTGACTTCTATTGTACTAAGTCGAGTTCAATTGTACTAAGTGGACTTCAATTGTACTAATTTGATTTCAATTGTACTAATTCGACTTCAATTGTACTAATTCGACTTCAATTGTACTAATTTGAGTTCAATTGTACTAATTCGACTTCAATTGTACTAATTTGACTTCAATTATACTAATTCGAGTTCAATTGTACTAAGTTGACTTCAATTGTACTAATTGGAGTTCAATTGTACTAATTTGACTTCAATTGTAGTAAGTCAAGTTCAATTGTACTAATTGTACTAACTAGAGTTCAATTGTACTAAGTTGACTTTAATTGTTCTAATTTGACTTTGATTGTACTAATTCGAGTTCAATTGTACTCATTTGACTTCAATTGTACTAAGTTGACTTCAATTGTACTAATTTGACTTCAACTATACTAATTTGAAATCTATTGTACTAATTTGACTTCAATTGTACTAATTTGATTTTAATTGTACTAATTTGAGTTCAATTGTACTAATTTGACTTGAATTGTACTAATTCTACTTCAATTGTAATTCGACTTCAATTGTACTAATTTGACTTCAATTGTACTAATTTGAGTTTAATTTTACTAATTCGACTTCAATTGTACTAATTTGACTTCAATTGTACTAATTCGAGTTCAATTGTACTAAGTTGACATCAATTGTACTACAATTGTACTAATTCGAGTTCAATTGTACTAATTTGACTTCAATTGTACTAAGTCGAGTTCAATTATACTAATTCGAGTTCAATTGTACTAATTTGACTTCAGTTGTACTAATTTGACTTCAATTGGACTAATTCGAGTTCAATTGTACTAATTTGACTTCAATTGTACTAATTCGAGTTCAATTGTACTAATTTGACTTCAATGGTACTAAGTTGACTTCAATTGTACTAAGTTGACTTCAATTGTACTAATTCGAGTTCAATTGTACTAATTTGACTTCAACTGTACAAAGTTTTTTTTTTTTCAAACGGCAAACAAATTCATTAAAGCTCAAAGGAATATACGGTAACCAAATGGCTACAACCATACATCACTTACAGTAGCAATGAAATAGCACGAGCAAGGTAAAACCTAACCCTCAAGGCCACAGTCTATTACAAAGACATAAAGCCCAAAGCAGTCTTAACACAATATTTAAAAAATTGTACCAATATAGACCTAGCAAAATTCCACCAAGTCCCTAATGACAGACAATGTAGAAGGCATGTTCTCCTTCAATGCCAATCCCTTGTGAATTTCTTCCACCAATTCCTCAGAATGAAGCAACAAGGAAAACTAATTGCAACCAACATCTTTAGCTTTGTTCAAACCCCAAGCCACAACCAACAACCACTCATCCTGCACCTCTAAGGTACCTTGCACCATTGTCTGCCACTGAAACAAAATGGCTCCTTGCTGGTACATAATGCTCTCTAAAAGCATGTCAGCATCATTATATGGTGATGCACTGAGAGTCATAGCTGACTTACCTACTTCCTTAAAAAATTTATGTTGCTGCAAATGATCATAGGAGTAATCACAGACATCAATAGCTCTGCCATATTTGGACTCTATCCATTCCACCCACTCTGATTTGGCATCTTCCACTATCTGCTTGTCATGGATCCAATCACCTTTGTAGAGCCATTTATTTCTAGCTTTTCAAAGGTGCCACATAAGAACTGCAGACAATCCCAGTCTGTCCTCCTTCAGATGAAGATCTGAGGCACAACATACTTTAACCCACCATCTTTGGAACACCTTGCCACTACAGTGTTGAGAATCCCACTATAATCCACACAATTTCCAGCAGTTAATAGTTCTTTGACAATCAAACATGATATGGTTGATATCTTCCTTCTCTTCTCCACAAGTAGCACAAATAGGATCCACCATCATTTTCCTCTTTAGTAACTGATCATGTGTGCTTAAATAGCCAAACATACATCTCCAGACAAAATTCTTTATTTTTGATTTCACATTCAAGTGCCAAGTTACCTTCCACATATTTGCAATGAGTGATGGTTCCATACTTGAGTTGGCCACCTCATGAAGCCCTGCTTTCTTCTGCATAATTGATATGTACACCTCTTTAACTGAGAACAATCCTTTAGGATGCAAGTGCCAGATCAGTTTATCATTCCCTCCATGCATAGAGAGAGGGATTTTGGATATGGCATCTGCAAGTTGAGGATTAAAGATTTGCTGAAGTAATTCAATATCCCACTCTCTGCTACCCACCCTCATTAAATCACTAACCTTATTAAACCTAGAACTATTCCCCAACAAAGAAATCTCAGGAACAAGAAGAGGAAAATTAGGAATTCAATGAGTATTCCATATGGATATGGAAGACCCATTTCCCACCATAAACCTAGCCCCCCCTTGTAAATGCTGCCTAACCCCAAGAAAACTTTTCCACAGCCAAGAATCATGTGGTTTAGAAGACACCCCCAAAAAGACTAGACTGCCAAAAGTACCTCCCCTTCATCACTCTGCTTACCAAAAGATTAGGCTGGGTAAGAAATCTCCATAATTGTTTGACTAGTAATGCATCATTAAAAGAAGTTAAGTCCTTGAAACCCAACCCCCCCCTTTATCTTTATCCCTCACCAATTTATCCCACCCCACCCAGTGAATTTTCTTACCCCCCCTTCTCATTATTGCGCCACCAAAAATCAGCTATATCCTGACATAACTACTTGACCACAGAAATAGGAACTTTAAAACAAGTATTTAGGCAATGTACTCAAGACAGCTTTGATTAAAACCTCTTTACCACTCTCACTTATAAACTTATGTTTCCTGTTTTTCACTCTCTTCAGCACACACTCACTTAAGAATTTGAAAGTATCTCTCTTGTTTCTACTAATCCCTAACGGCAACCCTAGATATTTGGAAGAATTAACCCTTGAGATCCCAGAAAGACAATCACATATAGCCTCACAATGAGTCTCCACCATGTTCTTAGAAAAAAAAGATGGAGGATTTATCAAAATTTACTAACTGACCAGAATCATGCCCATACCTATCTAGGATAGAAACAAACAAGTTAGCATGCTGAATATCAGCCTTACAGAACAACATAGAATCATCAGCAAAAAGAAGATGAGTAATGCTAGGAGCATGGGGCCCAATTTTTATACCCTGAAATTGACCAGAATTAGAGGCTTGATTGATCAAAGAAGAAAAGGCTTCAGAAACCAAGAAAAATAAGTAAGGGGATAAAGGGTCTCCGTGTCTAATCCCTCTAGTAGGCTGAATGAAACCTAAAGGAGACCCCTCAACATTAAAAGAAAAAGAGGCTGAACACACACAAGCCAAGATCCAAGATATGAAAGTTTGACAGAAGCCCATTCTGCTACAGACTCTAGCAATGAACCCCCATTCTATCCTATCATATGCTTTTGCCATATCAAGTTTCATAGCCATGTAGTGCATTTTACCTCTTCTCTTACTATTTATAAAATGAATGCATTCATCGTCAAGTATAACATTATCCAATATTTGCCTTCCAGGCACAAAAGCAGCTTGAGAATTAGAAATGCAAGCAGGAAGCACCACTTTAAGCCTATTAGCAATCACTTTGGCAATCAGTCTATACACAACAGAAAATAAACTAATAGGCCTAAAGTCAGCAACACAAGTGGCATTGTTTTTCTTAGGAATTAAAGTAATCACAGTGTGATTCAACCCCCTAGGCATCCTCCCATTAGCAAAAAACCTACCAATAGCCAAACAAACATGATGTTTAATATAAGGCCAGGAATGCTAAAAAAAACAAGCTGTAAAACCATCAACACCAGGGGCTTTATCTTTAGCCATATCAAACAAAGTAGATTGAATTTCAGATTCCTCAACCTTCTTAATCAAGGCAGCATTCATGTCTTCAGAACACAACAAGCAATACCATCCGGAGGACATATCCCATCTAAAGGATGGGAAGATTTAAACTAATTCTCAAAGTAACCAAGCAATTCATATACTACTTCTTGAGAATTGACACAAGCAGACCCATCAGCTTTCAATATACCATCTAGCCTATTCATCTTTTTTCTTTGATTAACACAAGCATGGACGTATTTAGAATTCCTATCTCCCCCTTGAAGCCAATGCACCCTAGCCTTCTGTTTCCAGAAGTTTTTCTCATCTCTATAGGCTAAATGAAGATCAACTTTCTTATTAACCCATTCTCCCCAATCTCTATCTCCTCCTAACTCCCTCAATTGATTTAACCTGGATTTACAGTCTTCTATAGTGAGCATAGTATTAGAAACATGACTTTTTTTCCACTGTAGAAGCTGCATTCTCACATTCCTAAGTCTATCCTGGATACTAAATAAAGCATGGCCCACCACAGGTTTATTCCAGGCATCCTCAACCACAGAATTAAAATTCTCCATTTGAACCCAAGAGGCATCAAAACAAAACCTTTTTTTTCCAGTCAAGATTTCAGGCAAGCAATCTAAGAGAATCATACAATGATCAGAGGAAATTAGATTAATGTGCTTAACAATAGAGTTAGGAAACTGCATATTCAAATCAGGGGACACAAAAAATCTGTCTAATTTTTCCTCAACAAAAGAAGAACCTCTCCTATTATTAGCCCAAGTGAATGGCTGCCCCACTGACATGATTTCAACAACCCCTAAAGTCCTAATAAACTCCCTGAAAGTAGAAAAGCTAGCCTGCTCTCTTCTCACCCCCCATTCTTATCAGCTTGACACAGAATATCATTAAAATCCCCACACAAGAACCAAGAGCTACCTCAAGTAAGACTGTGTCTAACAAGAACCTCCTATTGTCTAGCTCTCACAGCATTATCTGTGCTAGCATAGACAAACACTCCCCAAAAAATATCAGAAAAGCCCTTAAACCTAAAACACACTTCTAAGAAAAAGCCTAAGCTGTTAACTTCAATCAAGGAAATATTATCAGACCAAGTCAGAAATAATCCTTCCTTCCTGCCTTCAGGCTTAACATAAAACCAATTGTCCTGCAATCTAAGCTTTTTACACATAGTAATAATAAATTTTTATTTTTTCTTAGTTTCAAAAAGAAAAGCAAAATCTGGGTGGTGGGTCCTTAAGGACTCCTTGAACTGGAAAATTGTAGAGGCCCCTCCCAAACCTCTATAATTCTACACAGAAACCTTCATTGGAAACTGTGGGACCAGTTTGGGCTAGTTTCCTCCACCTCAGATAAGATCATATCCCCAGACAATTTGGCTTTCTTTTCAATTTGAAAGTCACAGTCCTGTGTCAAGTTTACCTCAAAGAGACCCTCACACCCTCTTTTTAAAGAATTTTTCTCACAAGGCATGGTACCCACCTCCCCATTCTTATCCACTAGCATAATCTCAGAGGTCATGCCCTTACTGGATCTAGGCTTCCTAGTAAAAGTAGCCCTTTTTCTTGACCCAATATTCCTTTCCATGAGGGTAGGCAGAATGGTAACTTCTACAAGATCACCATCAGTTGAGTCAGGGTACTTAGAAGGAGAAGCACCTTCACTACACTTAGTATTAAGGATAGGATTCTCAAAGACTGCCTGACCAGTCTCTTCCATATGTAAGGGAGTCTCAAATTGGGTAATACCTTTCTCTCCTCCATGTTGAGTGTCCTGGTTAGAGGACACACTATTTCTAAGCCCTTCACCTACTCGCTCCTAGCCACCAACTGATCAGATCTAGTCAATTTATCTTTTTTACTAGATTGACTGCCCTGGTTCAAAGAGCTAGGACTTCTAGAGTGACCAGAAAACACAATTTTAGCCTTTAACCATTCCCCATATTGCCCGATATTCACCTCATTGTTTTTAACATCCCCACTCTTAATCTCACAATTCTTATCAGAATGACCCAGCTTGCCACAATAAAACAAAAGGTTTGCAGATTCTCATATCTGAAATCCACCCAAGTGGAATCAGAGCCAACTTTGATCAGAGAACCCCTAGGGAGAGGTTCATTCACATTAAATTCCACTAAAACATTCATAATGTTCCCTAATTGATCATTTGTCCCAGGGAGATGGAAATCCAGAGTCTTTCCAATCCTTTTCCCTATTTTCAGCCCTATATCAAGAGAAGTCCAGTGCAAGGGAAGATTCAAAATGTGAACCCAAACCTTAATGACTTCTTCTTCATAGAAAAAGTCATTAGATACTGGATTCCAAAGTTTCATTAGAATATATTGTCCATCAAAGGACCAAGTTTTCCCTTGCAAAATCCTATCCCTATCTTCCTCACACTGAAACATAAATTGAAACTTGTTATTACTCAAGCTTCTAATCTGAAATTCTTTCCTCGTGGTCGAAATACTATTCAAGTAGTTTTCAGACCATTGAGGTTAACTTTCTTATCCCCATGAATTTTTCTTATAAGACTAAGCTGACATTCTTTGAGACAAGAGGTAATTTCATCAACAGATAACTCCACCCCATGCTCTTTGTCTGAAAGCTTAAATTTAGAGAACATAGCAGAAAGCTCCTGATCCAAAGGCATAATATCTCACTCCAAACCAAAAAGACCAACCTACAGACAACAACAAACAAACTACACCTCCAAGAAACCTAGCTCCAAACAACAAACAACAACCACAAATAAAAAGCAAGCAAAAGCACACAACCAAGAAGATGAATCTATAGAAAATAAAAGCACAAAATCAAAACAAGAAGATCAGAAAAACTAAAACCCCTAGAACCCAAATACCACGTAAAGGAAAAATAAAAAGAAACAACCTTAAGAAGCCTAACACCAGCCATAAATCAGCCACCAGCAACTACAAGAGATTTGTTATACAAGCCATATTACGCATTCAAATTCTAAACACCAATAAAAACCACATACCACAATGAAGCTCCAGCAAAAGCATAATGAAGGATGAAGGTGGCCTTACCGAAATCCACTAGGATCCAAAAACCCGCCCACACAATCTAATCCGTACACCATGAGGAAATGAAAGCAGGTCTAAGAAAAACGGACCGGACAGAGGAAGAAGATGAGGATCTACCGATAACGAATTAGAAATCAGAAGCGAAGCACACTGGAAAATCACCCCGAAAGCTAAATCCAATAAATGGAACTGGGAATCTCAAAAGAGAACTCAAACCCTAACCAGGGACTCAATTGTACTAAGTTGACTTCAATTGTACTACGTTGACTTCAATTGTACTAATTTGACTTCAATTGTACTAATTTGACTTCAATTGTACTAATTCGACTTCAATTGTACTAATTCGACTTCAATTGGACTAATTTGACTTCAATTGTACTAAGTCGAGTTCAATTGAACTAATTCAAGTTCAATTGTACTAAGTTGACTTCAATTGTACTAAGTCGAGTTCAATTGTACTAAGTGGACTTCAATTGTACTAATTCGAGTTCAATTGTACTATTTTACTTCAATTATACTAAGTTGACTTCAATTGTACTAATTTTACTTCAATTGTACTCATTTGACTTTAATTGTACTAAGTTGACTTCAATTGTACTAAGTTGACTTCAATTGTACTAATTTGACGTCAATTGTACTAATTTGAGTTCAATTGTACTAATTTGACTTCATATGTACTAATATAATATGTTATAATATATGTTATATACTATGATATGATATATGTTATATACTATGATATAACATATAGTAGGTAATAGAATATAACATATAATATAAATTACAATTTATTCTAATCTATATTATATTTTTATGTACATGTATTAATTTGTAAAACAATAATCGGAAAGTGTCTGCCGGCACAATGGTTTGAGGTGCGCCCAGAGAAACCGGACTCACCCATTGACCCGGTTTCGAGTCCCCAATCTGGGAGCGTCGACCATTTTTTTTATATAAACGGATTTACAGAATCCGTTTTATTATGAATTATTTGTAATACGTATTCTCAGAAACGTTTTCAGTAAAACGTATCCTGAGAATACGTTTTAGGCTGAATTAGTTATAAAATGTATTCTAACAATACGTTTTAAACTGGGAGAAAAAATACTTGGTGATGATCACACGACTCGAACGCACTTGTTTTAAATATTCAAAACAACCAACTGAACCAAAATTACACGAACAAATCAAGTAATCTACCTTAAATACCATGAAACCAAGTCCAAATAAATTATACAAACAAAACAAAATAAATAATCCAACCAAATCTGAATGAAAAATCCAAACAAATCCAAATAAACAATAAAAAATCTAATCTCTCCACACATCACGAAGTCTAGACCTATCGCTGCGAGGATGTGAGGACGGACACTCATACACAACATGCTCTGAATCACCGCATCTAGTACAATGTCCCCTCTCATTTATGCGTCGTGCCCGACGATCCATTTGCATGCGGTAGCGTCTCGTTTGCTTGCGACTGGGTCCAGGCTTCAAAATGATCCTCTCCCAATGTAGAATCAAATTCCATCCCACCGGCGGCCATGTATCAGGATTACCAATCAGAGTAAAACTCCAATTAGTAAATTGAGCTACCCAATTCGACATCCAGAAGTGATCATCGTACAACAGCTTTGGGCCACCCGCAATTCTACGATAGACGGCTATTGCATGAGAACATGGTTTTCTATGCGTCTGCCACTTCCGATAAGTAAAACATTTTCTGGGGTAATCAACCTTATACCTGTATTTCCACATTAATTTATATCTATACAAAATAAAAAAAAATGAATGAAAAAAAAAAAAACATATACTTACTTGTTTTGCCCTCTTCCACTAGCACGTAGACCGGTTGTCACCGCGTACATGGATCTGTCGTAGTCCGTACATTCCACCTCGTGAGTTGTGGCTGTTTGCTCCAACTGAAAAAAATGCGACATAGTGCTCCCTAGCAATGGGACTCCTGCATCTGCTGGACTTTTTTTGTTCTTGTCGAAACAAATCCAGAGTTTTGTGAAATGTGGCGTCTACCAAAGCTCTACACGGCAGGAACCTAACCCCTTTCAGGACGTTGTTGTAACTCTCCGACATATTTGTTTTCAAGGTGCCTCATCTACATTTTTCATCTCGATACAGGGTCCACTGGTTCAAAGGAATTTTGAAAAGATAATTGTATGCGTCGGGATTAAATTCTTGAAGTCGCTCTTTTGTCTGTCGAAACTTTTGCTTCGACAACTGCGAACCCAAATCCCAACACCAATCCCATATTTTCTTACTCCTGAACCGAGTCACCACGTTGCTTCGAAGGTGTCGAAGGCAAATCCGGTGATACGCAGGGGGTTCTTGCCAATCCGGTAATGATTCAATCGCACTGCGTAGGCCCACATCTCTGTCAGAAAGAACGCATATCTGTCTGTCGAATACAACACATCGCCGCAGATTCCTAAGGAAAAATGACCAATTGTCCGTGCTTTCTTCGTCGACAAGCGCATACGCGATTGGCAATAGCCGCTTATTTGCAGTCTGTGCTACGGCCACGAGCATTTTTCCTTTGTAATGTCCACGTAAATGTGTGCCATCAACGATAATAACCGGCAGGCACATTTGGAAGGTTTGAATCGCGGGACCAAACGACCAGAACACAAATTTGAATTCTCTGTCTGGAACGTGTCACGCCACATCACCACCCTAAAATTCCAAATCTACATCTATGTTGGGATTCTCTCTTTGAAGCGCGGCAAAATATCTGTACAATACAAAAAAATTTCATAAATAAATAAACATAGTGAAAGACAAAAAACACGTATATTTGTAATTAACTTTTGCTTACTGAGGGAGTTCTGCGAAGTTCAACTCCCAACTGCCGTACACACACTCGATTGCTTTTTTCCTGCTGTGCCATGCCTTCTTGTAACTGACGTCGACTTTCCAACACTGCTTCACATCAGCCTGGACCATGTTAACGTTGTACTCCACTTTCTTCTGAATCTTATTAATTATAAGATTCGCAATCATATGGGCGGTCACGTTTTTGTGGTCATTTCTGTCGACCTGTTGCATGCAAGTGTGTTGGTCAGTCCATTCAGTTACTTCCCACAAATCATCACGCCATCTGGCCTTATTCACCCGAGCATTCCACAGACAAGGCACATCTGCATTCGATTTGCAGACCAGTTTGAATGACTTCTGATTTGAATCATTTGTCCGAACCTTCCGCAACCTATCGACGTTCCAAGCCATTAGACCCGCTTGGGCTTCTTCCTTGCTCCAGAAAACTGTACCCAAACGTATGGTCTCAATGTCGCCATTCCACCGTGGAATAGCATACTCGTTCGCATCTATCCTGCACGGGTCCCATTCACCCATCTCGCGGTATATGTGTCGACCACCAATAGAAAATGGGTGTTCTTCTTCGGTGAACTCGGGTTCACTCTCCTCATTTACCGATCTGTCTGATTCGGTTTCTGAGGTCTCGTCTGTGAAATCATCTTCACCGGGAATAAAATCTTCATCAATATATTTCTCCGTCCTCATCCGCCACCCATTCTCTCGATGTCCCTTCTCCAAAATTAGGTAGATGAGAAGTCGATATACCCTCGACATCAAACACTCCCCCGTAACAAGGAGTAACATCCTCAAACTGTGTAATGGGTGTATTTGCCTGCAACGATAAATGCAAATACACCATGGACATATTAGGAAAGTAATAAATCCATTCAAAACTATCGTTATTGAGTATTGTGGGATTCCACGAACCATCAGGTTGGCTAATCATCATAGTAATCTCCTGAATTGTCCAACCTTCTTCAAACTGATATTTTGCATTAATCATTTGTACCAACTGTTCATATGATATCCTCCCCGGAATTATAAATGAACCACTTAGACGATCTTTAAATGAAACAAAATCGCTTAACATTTCCTTCCCAAAATGCCAGTACATATTAACAAGGTATGGACCGGAATAGGCCATTTTATACATGTTGCAAAAAAACACTTTCAATTCTTTTTCCAAAAAAAAACTCAATTTTTACTCCAAAAAAAAAGTCCCAATCAAATAATACCCAATACTCATAATCGAACAACAACATAAAATTCATCTATAATTCGGTTAAATTGAAAGCCCTAATTCTAACCCTAATTTAAAAAAGCCCTAACCCCAACAACAACCAAACAATACACAATTGACAATTGATACACAAAATTTCAATCCTCAATTCAACATACACACATAATCGATAATCAATTAGCAATTTTCAATCTTAAAATACCACCACATTCAAACATATTATACCAATTCCTAATCTCCAAACAACTTCAAATAATATAAAAAGTAAAGATAAGCCAATATACCTCGTGCGAATGAATTAATCGGAAATGAGGCTCGTGTCGGTGTTGTCGGTTCACGCCGGGATGAAGATTGGATCGAATTGTTTTTTTACACGAAAGAAATCGCTGATTGTTATTTTTTTTTCGCTTGGAGCTCCTCTCTGTTCGTAAATGAAGTAGAGAGGAAGAGATTTTTTTTATTATTTACTTTAAAAAACGTATTCTGAGAATACGTTTACCGACAGTTTATTTGTAAAACGTATTCTCAGAATACGTTTTATTTAAATATTATTTTTTCCCTATTTTTTTATTAAAATGTTTTTTCAAAATACGTATTTTATTTGAATTATAGGGATTTTTTTAATTTCAAAAATAATTATAAAACATATTCTCGAAATATGTTTTTTTGATTAATTTTTTTTTTAAGAAAACATATTCTGAAAATACGTATATTTTATTTTGGTCGATTTTTTTTCCAGTTAATTTTTTTTAAATAAATAAACTACTCCATATTGGACGTCCCTTTCCACATCAGTAATGCATCCCACCAACCTATGTTTTTTTATTATTATTATTTATGTGTTTGTTTCTTCTGTTTGCTTTGTCCACTAAATAGGATCATTCATTGGACCAAAAACACTTCACCACTAATTAGTCCCAAGTAAACTTACACGCCCATAACCAAGCAAGAAAAAGCACCCACAATGCTTTGTGTCTCTTAGAAAAAAATTACATGCCATGTAGGAAATAGACCTAGTCTATAAAAAAGTATTTCCCAATGCAATTAAAAATGGACATAGTCTAGGTTATGTGGCAATAAAAAAGAGACATAGTCCACACTTGGGTCTATTTTAGACCCAAGTACAAACCCAAGCACTCATCATTTCTTCCTCATTTAATTTTTCTTTTAATAAATGAAATATATTAGAGCATTTTTATTGGTTGTCATGTATGCTAGACCTAGTATTTTATTTTTGCATTGAATAGCTTTTGAGTTTTTTTTACTTGGGTGTGTCCATGTCATTTAGGACTTAAGTCTATTTATATGCCACATATGTAAAATTAGACCCAAAGCATTGTGGATGCTCTTATAAGCCCAAGTCTAAAGTAAAAGGCAAAAAAAGAGAAGCACTATTAGTTGTATCCGACATAGAAAACACAACGGAAATTTACACGTGTATACATCATATAAGATTATTTTGCATATGTGCGATCTATGTAGTCTTTTATCATTTAAAGAGTTGGTGGGTAGTTTATTTTCATAATTACGAGTTCTCTTCCTATATCCAATCTTATTATCTCTCCAAATAAAGAGATCTTCTCTCCATAAAATCTGATTCTCTCTCCAAATAAATAATTAACGTGTCCGGAATGGACGGATCACAGTGGAATTTTAAAAAAGAAATCATGCCAAATATGATACCTATGATTATGGGTTGAACAAATTAAAAAATTCAAACAACATATAAACATGATCTGCGAAAAAATTCATCCAAAAGAGAAATGCATCGTCATAATCGAAATGAGAAATTTATCATCATATAAACAACATATAAACAAAAATTCATAGAAAAAATTCATTAAAAATTCATCGATCCGGCTGAGGAAAAAAACAATGCGAAAAGAGAAATTCATCGTCATATAAACAACATAAAAACATGATTTTTGAAAAGAGAAATTCATCGAAATATTAATATATGTTTAGATATACTGTATATAAACATTAGATAAACATGATCTGACAGTTCTCTAATATTAACCGTATAGTCATACATAAGAAACGACATATAAACAATACCGAAAAAAAATATAATACACAGTTTTAAATGATCGCAAACTCCAAATCAAATGTAGTTATACATAAGATAAACAACATATAAACAATTAAGAGGAAAACTTTAAACCAACAATTGTACCAATCTAAAAACAACTACACCTGATCCCATCAAGCAAAAACAATTTAACCTCTCTTCACCATCACC